AGACCCACAGAGACCCATACTCATAGAGACCCACAGAGACCCACACTCATACAGACCCACAGAGACCCACACTCATAGAGACCCACAGAGACCCAAACTCATTGAGACCCACAGAGACCCACACTCTTAGAGACCCACAGAGACCCATACTCAGATACCCACAGAGACCCACACTCATAGAGACCCACAGAGAACCATACTCAGAAACCCACAGAGACCCATACTCATAGAGACCCACAGAGACCCATACTCATAGAGACCCACAGAGACCCATACTCATAGAGACCCACAGAGACCCATACTCATAGAGACCCACAGAGACCCATACTCATAGAGACCCACAGAGACCCATACTCATAGAGACCCACAGAGACCCACACTCATACAGACCCACAGAGACCCACACTCAGAGACCCATACTCATAGGTAGTCAACATCTCCTAGCCACCGTGATGATGATGATGATGAGAGAGAGAGAGACACAGACTCCAAATATACAGCAGCAGCAGGCAACGTCAGGGTTTCGGGCTCGAACCCACGACCTCGTGCGTACCAGGCGAGGTAGTTAACATCTCCTAGCCACCGAGGCTGCTCCTGATTTGCCATCGCCTCTGCGGAGATGTAAATTCATATCCACAACTCCGCAGGGATGCGGTGATCCAGTTTCTCCGCGGTCTGCATTCAATTGTGATTTAAAACAAGTGCTCGTATGTGTGTGTGCTCGTGTGTGTGTGCGTGTGTGGAGGAGGCTCGTGAAGGACGCTATTGGGCAATTGGAGGCAGTCGCCCTCCAAAAACAACGGAGGGCGGAGGAGCGACGCTCACAACAACGAGCGGGGCGCCGGGTGGCTAAAGCACAGCGGGTTGGCACAGTAGGGGGCACAGGTGGTGCACCAGACAGTCATCTCAGTCAGTCGACCCGTGGCACCTGCTGGGTCTGCCCCCGTGACCTCCTGCCAGCGGGCGTTCGACACTTCACGTGGCCTCAAGGTGCACATGGCCTGGCACAAGCGTCGTGGTGACGTCACCGCCACTTAGTGGAGAATGGCGGTTGTTGTTGTGTGTGCGTGCCCCGTACTGTGCCAACCTGCTGTGCTTTAGCCACCCGGCGCTCCGCTCGGTGTTGTGAGCGTCGCTCCTCCGCCCTCCGTTGTTGTTGGAGGGCGACTGCCTCCAACTGCCCAGTAGCGTCCTTCACGAGCCTCCTCTACAGAGGCCGATCTTGACACCGCTGGTACCAGTCATCGGCAAGTCCACTCAGCTCCACGTCCTCCTGTACCACATCACTCCATCTCTTCTCTAGCCCGTGCCGCGCCCGTTTAGCCCCCTCGATCCGGCCGAGCAAAAGCTGTTTCAGCATGCGGTGGCTGGGCAATGCGGGCTACATGACCCAGCCAACGAAGCCTTGCCTGCCGGAGGAGCTCACCGATGGGACCGTGCCCAGATCTTTCAAGGATTTGTGAGCTCCTCACACAGTGATCCGGCCTGGTTAAACCCAGGATGGATCGTAGGCAGGCAAGCCTCAATGTTTCTAAGATGTTCCATTACGGGGGTCCACGTTTTGCAAGCGTAGAGAAGGGAGGAAATGACTGTGGCCGAGAAGACCTGAAGCTTAGTGCGGAGCGACAGACCCGGTAGCTTCCACACAGCGTTACGCAACCGATGAACATATATTGCCGCTCGACTGATTCGGAGTGAAACCTCTGCTGTCAAACTGGAGCCGGTCATGAGCACACCGCCCAGGTATGGGAAACTCTCCACTCTATCCACAACTGCCCCATCACCGATTAAGAGTTGTGGGGGTGGAGTGTCCGATGGTACAAAATACCCAGGCAGGTGCTTGATGGCAAGGCCCCACCTCTCAGTGGCAAACTCCAGGTTCAGCAGCAGCGCCTCCAACTCCTCCTCTGAATGAGCATCAATCACAAGATCATCGGTCATGAGCAGCACTGCCCACCACCAACCAACCAACACCACCGGTGACGATTATCTGAATCGGTACGGGGCCTCCCCTAGGTCGACTCAGCCTCAAACGAGTAACCTGGTTTGCGGCGTGCAGTAAACATCGTCACTGGGGAGACAAAGACGGCCGGGCGTGCGTGGTGCTGGCCACCCACCCCCAACGGCACTTGCCCCTACAGCTTGTTAGAGGCTACACGGGGGATCTTTGTCTGTGTATAGGCGCTGCTGCTACTCGCTACTAACAGCACTTGCCCCAACAGTCTGTTAGAGGCTACACGGGGGATCTTTGTCTGTGTATAGGTGCTGCTGCTACTCGCTAACAGCACTTGCCCCTACAGCCTGTTAGAGGCTACACGGGGGATCTTTGTCTGTGTATAGGCGCTGCTGCTGCTACTCGCTAACAGCACTTGCCCCTGCCGCCTGTTAGAGGCTACACGGGGGATCTTTGTCTGTGTATAGGTGCTGCTGCTACTCGCTACTAACAGCACTTGCCCCTACAGCCTGTTAGAGGCTACACGGGGGATCTTTGTCTGTGTATAGGCGCTGCTGCTACTCGCTACTAACAGCACTTGCCCCAACAGTCTGTTAGAGGCTACACGGGGGATCTTTGTCTGTGTATAGGTGCTGCTGCTACTCGCTAACAGCACTTGCCCCTACAGCCTGTTAGAGGCTACACGGGGGATCTTTGTCTGTGTATAGGCGCTGCTGCTGCTACTCGCTAACAGCACTTGCCCCTGCAGCCTGTTAGAGGCTACACGGGGGATCTTTGTCTGTGTATAGGTGCTGCTGCTACTCGCTACTAACAGCACTTGCCCCTACAGCCTGTTAGAGGCTACACGGGGGATCTTTGTCTGTGTATAGGTGCTGCTGCTACTCGCTACTAACAGCACTTGCCCCTACAGCCTGTTAGAGGCTACACGGGGGATCTTTGTCTGTGTATAGGTGCTGCTGCTACTCGCTAACAGCACTTGCCCCTACAGCCTGTTAGAGGCTACACGGGGGATCTTTGTCTGTGTATAGGCGCTGCTGCTACTCGCTACTAACAGCACTTGCCCCTAGAGTATGTGAGAGGCTACACGGGGGATCTTTGTCTGTGTATAGGCGCTGCTGCTACTCGCTACTAACAGCACTTGCCCCTAGAGTATGTGAGAGGCTACACGGGGGATCTTAGTCTCTTTGTGCGGTTGTGTGAGGTCATTCATCACTCACGGTTGGGCCCACGTGACCTGGCGTTAGAAATACGCGGCAGTGGTAGTCCAGCAGCTGCCACGGATTTTTACATGACAGCAGGTTGGTGGTGGTGATGATGATGGTGGTGGTGGTGATGGTGATGATGATGGTGGTGGTGATGATGGTGGTGATGGTGGTGGTGATGATGATGGTGGTGGTGGTGATGATGGTGGTGATGGTGGTGGTGATGATGGTGGTGATGGTGGTGATGATGGTGTTGCTGCTGATGGTGGTGATGGTGGTGATGGTGCTGATGATGATGGTGTTGATGATGATGATGCTCGTGCTGATGGTGATGACGTTGATGATGCTGATTATGATGGTGCTGATGATGATGCTGATGGTGATGATGGTGCTGATGATGATGGTGCTGATGATGATGGTGCTGATGATGATGCTGATGGTGATGATGGTACTGATGATGATGGTGCTGATGATGATGGTGCTGTTGCTGCTGCTGATAAACATGATGACAGACGGAGAGAGACACACACATAGAGACACACAGACAGACACAGAGAGAGACAGACAGAGTGACAAACAGACAGAGGGAAAGACAGACAGACAGAGAGAGAGACAGACAGAGAGACACAGAGAGACACAGACAGAGAGAGAGACAGACAGAAAGACAGACAGAGAGACAGACAGAGAGACAGACAGACAGAGAGACAGACAGAGCGACAGGACAGACAGAGAGACACAGACAGAGAGACAGAGAGACACAGACAGAGAGACAGACAGAGACAGAGAGAGACTGACAGAGAGACACAGACAGACAGAGAGAGACAGACAGAGAGAGACAGACAGAGAGACAGACAGAGACAGAGTGAGAGAGACAGAGAGAGACAGCAGAGAGACACAGACAGACAGAGAGAGACAGACAGAGAGAGACAGACTGAGAGAGAGAGACAGACAGAGATACAGACAGAGAGACACAGACAGAGAGACACAGACAGAGAGACAGAGAGACACAGACAGAGAGACACAGACAGAGAGACACAGACAGAGAGACAGACAGAGAGACAGAGAGACACAGACAGAGAGACACAGACAGAGAGACACAGACAGAGAGAGAGACACAGACAGAGAGACACAGACAGAGAGAGAGACACACAGACATAGAGACACATACAGAGAGAGACACAGACAGAGAGACACACATAGAGACACAGACACAGACAGAGAGACACAGACAGAGAGAGAGACACAGACAGAGAGACACAGACACAGAGAGAGAGACACAGACAGAGAGTAACAGACAGAGAGAGACACACAGACAGAGAGACAGAGAGACACAGACAGAGAGACACAGACAGAGAGATACAGATAGAGAGACAGACAGAGAGACACAGAGAGACACATACAGAGAGAGACACAGACAGAGAGACACAGACAGAGAGAGACAGACAGGGAGACACAGACAGAGAGACACAGACAGAGAGACAGACAGAGAGACACTGACAGAGAGAGACACAGACAGAGAGACAGACAGACAGAGAGACAGACAGGGAGACACAGACAGAGAGACACAGACATAGAGACACAGAGAGAGAGACACAGACAAGGAGACAGACAGAGAGACACAGAGAGAGACACACACAGACAAAGAGACACAGACAAAGAGACACAGAGAGAGACACACAGACAGAGAGACACAGACAGAGAGATACAGATAGAGAGACACAGAGAGAGAGACACAGACAGAGAGACACAGAGAGCGAGAGAGACACACACAGACAGAGAGACACAGACAGAGAGATACAGAGAGAGAGACACAGACAGACATGATATCTCTACCTTGCGTGTTCTTCTCTCTCTCTCTGTCTCTCAGTCTATCACCACCGTGGTTTATCCACTGTTGGATGAAGATCACTGTGGTGATGGTGGTGATGATGATGATGAGGATGTCTCTGATCCAAGTGATCCTCGATCACTCTCGTACAGCTATTTGCCATTCTGGATTAAACATGAAAAAAAATCATTCGCCTTCCTCATTTATCAAAGTCTCTTTAATTAAGTTGGGCATTCTAAAGCCTCTTAGCCGCCCTTTTTTATTGTTATTTCGCGTATTTATTGTGTTGTTGCGTGTTGTTGTGTGTGTGTGTGTTCTCCGTTGCTGGCAAATGATTTAGAAGCAGCGTGAAGCAGAATTCGCGGACTAATCCATCGTATTCGTGTGGCAACATTGTGAGTGTACGGGGAGTTGAGATTACGCGGGGATCTGAGAGGTACCCTGAGGTGAGAGTCCTGGGTTCGAGCCCTGGGTCTGGGTGTCTCTCTGTGGGGTTCACGATGGCCGTGTCGGAGACACTGAGAGTCTGGGTTCGAGCCCTGGGTCTGGGTGTCTCTCTCTCTCTCTCTCTGTGGGGTTCACGATGGCCGTGTCGGAGACACTGAGAGCCTGGGTTCGAGCCCTGGGTCTGGGTGTCTCTCTCTCTCAGGGGGTTCACGATGGCCGTGTCAGAGACACTGAGAGTCTGGGTTCGAGCCCTGGGTCTGGGTGTCTCTCTCTCTCTCTGTGGGGTTCACGATGGCCGTGTCGGAGACACTGAGAGTCATGGGTTCGAGCCCTGGGTCTGGGTGTCTCTCTCTCTCTGTGGGGTTCACGATGGCCGTGTCGGAGACACTGAGAGCCTGGGTTCGAGCCCTGGGTCTGGGTGTCTCTCTCTCTCTCTCTGTGGGGTTCACGATGTCCGTGTCGGAGACACTGAGAGTCTGGGTTCGAGCCCTGGGTCTGGGTATCTCTCTGTCTCTGTGGGGTTCACGATGTCCGTGTCGGAGACACTGAGAGTCTGGGTTCGAGCCCTGGGTCTGGGTGTCTCTCTCTCTCTCTGTGGGGTTCACGATGTCCCTGTCGGAGACACTGAGAGTCTGGGTTCGAGCCCTGGGTCTGGGTGTCTCTCTCTGTCTCTCTCACCCAGGGCAGTGTTCACTGTGTTCTGTTGCGGCTCTACGGGGAGGTCTTTGTGTCCTTCCCGTTTCGCACCACCACCACCACCACGTTGATACTCATTCAGCAGTGGATACACCACGGCGCTGATGATTCGACTGAGAGACAGACAGAGGACACACACACGTGGATTAGAGACATCGTCAGCACCACGTTGATCGTCATCTAGCAGTGAATAGACCACGGCTACTGCTGATGCTACTGCTGATGATGCTGCTACTACTGGTGATGACACTGCTGCTGCTGCTGATGATGATGCTGCTGCTACTGATGATGCTGCTGCTGCTACTGATGATGCTGCTGCTGCTACTGATGATGCTGCTGCTGCTACTGATGATGCTGCTGCTACTGCTGATGACACTGCTGCTACTGATGCGACTGCTGATGACACTGCTGCTACTGCTGATGACACTGCTGCTACTGATGCTACTGCTGATGACACTCCTGCTACTGATGACACTGCTGCTGATGATGATGATGCCGCTGCTACTGCTACTGATGATGCTGCTGCTACTGCTGATGACACTGCTGCTACTGATGCGACTGCTGATGACACTGCTGCTACTGCTGATGACACTGCTGCTACTGATGCTACTGCTGGTATTAATGCCGCTGATGCTGCTGCTGAAGCTGCTGCTACTGATGACACTGCTGATGATGATGCTGTTGCTACTACTGCTGATGATGATGCTGCTGCTGCTGATGATAATGCTGCTGCTACTGCTGCTGCTGATGATAATGCTGCTGCTACTGCTGCTGCTGATGATGCTGCTGCTACTACTACTGATGATGCTGCTGCTACTGCTGCTGATGATGCTGCTACTGCTGATGCTGCTGCTGCAACTGATGCTGCTGCTACTGCTGATGCTGCTGCTGCTACTGATGATGATGCTACTGATGATGCTGCTCCTGCTGATGATGCTGCTGCTGCTACTGATGATGATGCTACTACTGCTCATCATGATGCTGCTGCTGATGATGCTGCTGCTACTACTGCTGATGATGCTGCTGCTACTACCGCTGATGATGCTGCTGCTGATGATGCTGCTGCTGATGATGCTGATGATGCTGATGCTGCTGCTGCTATTGCTGCTGATGATTCTGCTGCTGCAACTGATGCTGCTGCTACTGCTGATGCTGCTACTGATGATGATGCTACTGATGATGCTGCTGCTACTGATGATGATGCTACTACTGCTCATCATGATGCTGCTGATGATGATGCTGCTGCTACTACTGTGATGATGCTGCTGCTACTACCGCTAATGATGCTGCCGCTGATGATGCTGCTGCTGATGATGCTGATGATGATGATGCTGCTGATGCTACTACTGCTGATCATGATGCTGCTGCTGATGATGCTGCTACTGATAATGATGCTGCTACTGCTGATGATTATGCTGCTGCTGCTACTGCTGATGATGATACTACTACTGCTGCTGCTGATGTTGTTAGGCTGTACTCAAAGTGATTGGATGGGATGTGGTGGAATTGCGGGTGGGGGTAGAGACTCTGCAGGGCAATTGTGTTCCACCAGCGGCCCTTTTAATTAAATTAGCGCAGAAAGTCGTTCATCAGCGAGACTCGCAGAGAGAGAGAGAGAGCTCATCATTAGCTGTGTGCAGAGAGAGGGGAGAGTGAGGAGAGTGGGGAGAGAGTGGGGGGAGAGTGGGGGGAGAGTGGGGAGAGAGTGGGGAGAGAGAGAGGAGAGAGTGTGGAGAGAGTGGGGAGAGAGTGGGGGGAGAGTGGGGAGAGAGTGGGGAGAGAGTGGGGAGAGAGAGAGAGTGGGGGGAGAGTGGGGAGAGAGTGGGGAGAGAGAGAGAGGGGAGAGTGGGGGGAGAGAGTGTGGAGAGAGTGGGGAGAGAGTGGGGAGAGAGAGAGAGTGGGGAGAGAGTGGGGAGAAAGTGGGGGAGAGTGGGGAGAGAGTGGGGAGAGAGTGGGGAGAGAGAGAGAGGGGAGAGTGGGGAGAGAGTGGGGAGAGAGAGAGAGTGGGGAGAGAGAGAGTGGGGAGAGAGAGAGTGGGGAGAGTGGGGGGAGTGGGGAGAGTGGGGGGAGAGAGAGAGGGGAGAGTGGGGAGAGAGTGGGGAGAGAGAGAGTGGGGAGAGAGTGGGGAGAGTGGGGAGAGATAGGGGAGAGTGGGGGAGAGTGGGGAGAGAGTGGGGAGAGAGTGGGGAGAGAGTGGGGGAGAGTGGGGAGAGTGCGGAGAGAGTGGGGATAGAGTGGGGAGAGAGAGAGAGGGGAGAGTGGGGAGAGAGTGGGGAGAGAGAGAGTGGGGAGAGAGAGAGTGGGGAGAGAGTGGGGAGAGATAGGGGAGAGTGGGGGAGAGTGGGGAGAGAGTGGGGAGAGAGAGGTGAGAGTGGGGAGAGAGTGGGGGAGAGTGGGGAGAGAGTGTGGGGAGAGTGGGGAGAGATTGGGGAGAGTGGGGGGAGAGTGGGGAGAGAGTGGGGAGAGAGTGGGGAGAGAGAGAGATGGGAGAGTGGGGAGAGAGTGGGGGAGAGTGGGGAGAGAGTGGGGGGAGAGTGGGGAGAGATAGGGGAGAGTGGGGGGAGAGTGCAGAGAGAGAGAGTGGGGAGAGTGGGGAGAGAGAGGGGAGAGAGAGGGGAGAGTGGGGGGAGAGTGGGGGGAGAGAGAGGGGAGAGAGTGGGGGGAGAGAGTGGGGGGAGAGTGGGGAGAGAGTGGGGAGAGAGTGGGGAGAGAGAGAGGGGAGAGTGGGGAGAGAGTGGGGAGAGAGAGAGAGTGGGGAGAGAGAGAGAGTGGGGAGAGTGGGGAGAGATAGGGGAGAGTGGGGGAGAGTGGGGAGAGAGTGGGGAGAGAGTGGGGAGAGAGAGAGAGGTGAGAGTGGAGAGAGAGTGGGGGGAGAGTGAGGAGAGAGTGGGGGGAGAGTGGGGAGAGATAGGGGAGAGTGGGGGGAGAGTGGGGAGAGAGTGGGGAGAGAGTGGGGAGAGAGTGGGGAGAGAGAGAGAGAGAGGGGAGAGTGGGGAGAGAGTGGGGAGAGAGAGAGAGTGGGGAGAGAGAGAGTGGGGAGAGTGGGGAGAGATAGGGGAGAGTGGGGGAGAGTGGAGAGAGAGTGGGGAGAGAGTGGGGAGAGAGAGAGAGAGGGAGGTGAGAGTGGGAGAGAGTGGGGGGAGAGTAGACAGAGAGTGGGGGGAGAGTGGGGAGAGATAGGGGAGAGTGGGGGGAGAGTGGGGAGAGAGTGGGGAGAGAGTGGGGGAGAGTGCAGAGAGAGAAGGGAGAGTGGGGAGAGATTGGGGAGAGACTGGGGAGACAGTGGGGGGAGAGTGGGGAGAGAGAGAGAGGGGAGAGTGGGGAGAGAGTGGGGGGAGAGTTGGAATAGTGGGGAGAGAGTGGGGGGAGAGTGCAGAGAGAGAGAGGGGAGAGTGGGGAGAGATTTGGGGAGAGAGTGGGGAGAGAGTGGGGAGAGAGTGGGGGGAGAGTGGGGAGAGAGTGGGGAGACAGAGAGAGAGAGGGGAGAGTGGTGAGAGAGTGGGGGGAGAGTGCAGAGAGAGAGGGGAGAGTGGGGAGAGAGTGGGGGGAGAGTGCAGAGAGATAGGGGAGAGTGCAGAGAGAGAGTGGGGAGAGAGTGAGGGGAGAGTGGGGAGAGAGTGGGGAGAGTGGGGAGAGAGAGGGGGGAGAGAGAGTGGGGGGAGATTGGAGAGAGTGGGGAGAGTGGGGAGAGAGTCGGGGGAGAGTGGGGAGAGAGAGAGAGAGAGGGGAGAGAGTGGGGAGAGAGTGGGGGGAGAGTGGGGGAGAGTGGGGGGAGAGAGGGGAGAGTGGGGGGAGAGTGGGGAGAGTGGGGAGAAAGAGATACACGGAGAGAGAGACACGGGGAGAGAGAAAATTTTTTTGTGTTGGGTCTTTCATTTAAAAGGGGGGGGGGGGGGTGTTACATAAAGCAAATAAATTAAAAAAACGAAATGATGAACGGAGCAAAGTGCCGACTACACCGAGCATCTTCTTGTTTCCTCTGATTGTAAAAAAAGAGAGACACGGGGAGAGAGAGACACGGGGAGAGAGAGACACGGGGAGAGAGAGACACGGGGAGAGAGAGAGACACGGGGAGAGAAAGACACGGGGAGAGAGAGACACGGGGAGAGAGTGACACGGGGAGAGAGAGACACGGGGAGAGAGAGACACGGGGAGAGAGAGACACGGGGAGAGAGAAAGACACGGGGAGAGAGAGACACGGGGAGAGAGAGACACGGAGAGAGAGAGAGAGACGGGGAGAGAGAGACACGGGGAGAGAGAGAGACACGGGGAGAGAGAGACACGAGGAGAGAGAGCCACGGGG